GAACGGTGGCAGGCTGCTCTCACTGTGCGCTAGTCAAAGCCTAACGCTCACAAACGCTCGATTTGCACTGAGTGCGAGTGGTATAGCAACTTGTATGCACCAACGGAGTGGTCACGCTCACTTGCTCGACTATGTCATCGTACGTCAGAGTAATATGCGTGAAAGGCGCATGGCACGTGTACTGCGTGGAGCTGAGTGTGGCACTGATCACAAGTTGGTGCGGACCAAACTGTACATATATTTTCGTAAATCTATGTATTGCGCTCCTGTCGTGAATCGGCGTAAATTTAACATTCTCTCCCTCGGTATTGTGGCGAAATCTATTGAGCTGGAGAAGGCGATGGCTGCACGCCTCTGTGATGTGGAATGCATAACCACAGTGGGCCACCTGTGGCACCACAATCGCGACCAGGTGAGTTGCTGCCGAGGTGACCATCGGGCGCTCAAACTGTATGCGGCCTGATTGGTTTGATGAGAACAATGCGACGATTATCGCATTGGTATGTGAGAAGAATGCAGCATTTGCTGCACATGTTGCAGACCCCAGTGACTTGGGGAAGAAGAGTCAGTTACGCAGAAATAGACGGCGACTGATTTGCGAACTCCGTCGCATTAAAAATGCATGGTGGACGGAGAAGGCGAAGCAGATGGAATGCTACGGCGAACGCCTCCAACACAAGGGATTTTTGACTCTTTGAAGGCGATGTATGGACCGAGGTTGGAGCCACTGAGGACACTAATCGATGATAGTTCAAGCGCTACCTGTACACAGACTGCAGACATAATGCAGATCTGGCGGAAACACTTTGACTGTCTCTTGAACAACCGTTCAGAGATCGACTGGCCTGCATTGAGCGGTCTTAAACAGTACGATGTGAAGGCGAGTCTGGCAGACACGCCGACACTGAGTGAGACGCAGAGAGCACCTGCTCAGTTGCGAATCGACAAGTGTGCGGGGGCCGACGGGATCCCGCCTGAAGTATCGAAACACGGCGGACCCGCGTTGGCGACTGCGCTTCCCCTCTTGGTGCAACGCGTATGGATGGAGGAGGAGGTGCCTCCTGGACTGAAAATGTCCTTGTGCTACTACTGTACAAGAGCAAAAAAGCAAGAAATGTTGCACGAAGTAGCGTGGCATCAAGTTGTTGACTTGTGTGGACAAGGTGATAGCCGGAATCCTGCTCAACCGCGTCGTCAGTCAGGTTGTGGAACCGAACGCTGCGGAAGAGCAGTGTGGATTCCGTTCGGGTCGCAGCACTATAGATATGGCGTTTGCGGCTCGTCAGCTGCAGGAGAAACGCAGAGAATGACACCAGCCGCTGCACTCATTTTGTTGATTTCACCAAGACCTTTGATACGGTGAACCTCGAGGCATTTTGGCTGGTGTTGTGTAAGTTTGGTTGCCCGCGTAAGTTTGTAAGTTTAATTGAATGTCTGCACAGTGATATGCGAGCGAGGGTGCAGCTGAGTGAAGAGACCTCGGATGACTTTGCAGTTGTCTCTGGTGTGAAGCAAGGCTGTGTCTTAGCTCCTGCCCTGTTTACTATATATCTTCATGCAATGATGTCCTGTGCTTTTGATGCCGCTTGTGCTTACGGTGTTCGTGTGGAGCACCGTATTGATGGTGGGTTGTTGAACATCCGTCGTTTCGGTGCGAGAACTCTAGCCTGTGCGACAAGTATCCGTATGTTACTGTTTGCTGACGACTGAACGTTGTTTTCACACAGCGCGGATGGGTTGCAACACATTACTAGTGTTCTGGCTTCGGCAGCAACCAAATTCGGGCTCACGATCAACACAAACAACCTTCACCGGAGGTGCAATCTTCAGTATTGCCGCGAATCAACATTGGTGCTGTAGTATTGGAATCCACCTCCCGCTTCTGCTACCTTAGAAGTGTGATGTCGACTGATCAGCAACTAGACAGTGAGCTTCATATCCGCGTGTTGAAGGCAGCGGCGACATTCGGGAAGCTAGAGTACCGAGTGTAGAATAACCATCAGCTTAACATTGACACGAAGCTGATGGTGTACAAATCCGTCGTGTTGTCCCTTCTTCTATAAAGGAGCGAAAGGTGGACGATGTATCAGCGGGATGTGCAATATCTCGAGCGGTTCAATCAGCCGTGTTTGCGACGGACTCTGCGCATCGGTTAGTGCGACAGCGTTTCGGACACGGAAGTGTTTTGCCGAAGTGGAATGTGTGCAGTAAACTGCTTACTTTTGCTCAGACACTCGAGATGGCTCAGTCATGTGAGGCGTATGGATTCGACACGGATACCGAAGCAACTATTATGTTGTCAGCTGAGTAGTGGGAAGCGGCATGTGGAGCAAACAAAGTTACGTTACCAGGACATGATCAAAGTGAGCCTCACACGTTCTAATCATGATTGCAGATCATGGGAATCGATGGCGGTTGATCGGCATGCATGGCGCGATCTGATCACGAATTCAGTTGCTGAAATGTGGGAGAAAGTCCTCATGCGTGCAGAGAAGAATCGGCAAGTACGGAAGCGGCAAGCACCGATGGGTTCTACTCCATCGACATCGAGTGCATGGTGCTGTAGCATATGCGGTCGCGAGTGCCTGAGTCAGGCAGGCTTAGTGAGCCATGAGCGAGGCCGCTCGGGACCACTGTCGAAGCGAAGACGGGTCCTGCAGAGAATGTAGGCAGAATCTGAACATCGTTTGTAGGTACGCTGGGTACGAATTACTAACCGCGTGCTTGCATGCCAAGTTTATTTATTTCAGGTGGTGAGTTTTCAATTTTGTCCTAATGCTTTTCTTTCTAATATAGATGTCTACCAGTACTCTCTTCTATAAACTTGCACACGACGCTTATGTCAATTGTTGTTAATTTCAATAATATTTTCGTGTTTGTGACATTTTCGTAAAGTATACTTTCTGACCTCGTGGACTTGTCTAGGATTCGCTTGTAAACAACTTAGTTCATATGCTCATAAATTTACGATTTATGTCACCGGTTCCTTGTGCATTACTCGATTTATTTTCTTTGTTATCTTTCTCTCAAGTGATTGGCTGTTGCTTGATATCCCCGGCGTAGCTGCGCCTGATGTGCATGTTGACAAAATGCTTACCTGTCTAGTACCCACTATCTCGTTCATACTGGCTCCAGAAGACGGTTCGTCGTTGCTGGAGGGGACGTGGTGCACGGTCCTTGTGGCCGTGTTCGGATCAAAGAGTGGTTCCATAAAATCAGTGTGTAGCAGACTGCGGTCCAGCCACCGTCTTGTGTGCGCTTGATTCCCAAATACCGTGTGCTTGTGTTTGCATGTGAAGGAGTGTGGGCCGACTCCGTTGATGAAACGGAGTTCCCATCCACATGTCTCCCGGCCTTATTCCTTCGGGTTTACACTGGATATGGGGTGTGTGGCTGGAGCTGTGCGTGGTGCAGCGCAAGGCACCTATGGTGCCTCGGTAGGCGCAGGCGTCCAGTGGCCGGCCACATTGACAGGCAAATCCGAAACGGATGCTGCTAACCATGGTACCGACCATTGCTGGGTTGTTGATAAACGAATTAGGATCGGATTCAACACTCTTGTCATAGGCCCACGGATTAACTCATTGTACGTAACGCATGCATTGTGGCTACCTGTTTCAATAGCTAGTTGAATAAGGTTAACCAAGCTGTTACCAGTACTCACTTCAAACCAACTTTCCATTTATTTTGCTGTGATTTGGGCGCATCGACTTCCACTAGGAGGGGAAAGGCAAACTGACAGCGATGCCGCACTGGCTCACCAACATTGACTACAGTTATTTCAACCGACATCTATCTCCGTGATATTGATCTTGACGCTACCGTCGCAGCTTCTAGGGACATCACACTAGCGGATTCACGATTTTAAACAATTCCGGGCAGTCAGAAAAGGTTTTTCGCAGTATAGTCTAAATGACGATAGAATGTTTTTCAGCAAAACATGACCGGAACTGCGTGGACATTGTATTATCCATCGACAAACGATAGATCTTGGTAGCTCTAAGTCAAGTATCGAGTGGATTTACTCTAAAGGGTATGTGAACCTACACACGTGTCAATGCAACCTGGTGTAGTCAACAACTGAGAGGATATTCTCCAGCGTCTTTCGCTGGCGAGACGATGACAGTCGTGTGTATGCGTGCGGCAGTGGATGTATGTTTGGTGTCCCTCAGCCTGTGTGGATTAAGGCTTCATTTTGGTGAAAATGTGCCAAGTTGGAAAAAGCTCTCAGCCTAGATGTAATGTACCTTTCATTTGTTCATTTAATATTACATAAACCATGAAAGAGGGCCTAGACAAAAGTTGGTTTTCTCACAGGATTATTCTAAATATAGTGGGAGCTGCCGATGGGAGAGCTCTGGTAGATTCTGAGACTGGTTTATGAAATTACATATTGCTTATCTTCGTGCTTTATTTCTTGCAAACGCAAAGAGAACCAACCAATCGTCAACAGTCCGGGAGTCTTAGTTTACATTCCGGTACAAGAAGCAGGACGCTAGTCGGGCGGGAGCCGATATCGTCTTTTGGACATGACTTGTGACGATTGTAAACGATTTGCTTATTTATATGTTTACGGTTTCATAGTTCACCGCAATCAATACAGAGCATGTTTTAACGAACTGCTGATATACACAACTTATCAAAGCTGGTCTTCGCATGGCTTTCTCTTCATTGTTACCAGTGTCTGTGAGCAGCTCGTTTGACCGCCTACCATATCCACTGTCGGAAATATACCTGCGTATTTTTGAAAGTAGGATTTGCGCTCTGATATCGTCTGATGCCAGATCGAAGCAAAAATTCTTTTTTGATGAGGTGATCCTATTCACTGATCTATTTGCTATCATTGTATAGCGGTTAGCCACAGACCTGACCTGGCCTAACCCGACCTGCGTAGACATGATGTCCCGCCACGTGAGATTGTATTGACTTCAGCGAATTTCAAACAGTGCCGTCATCGAACACTCGCCTACAAGTTGTTCCATAGTTTACAACTGGAGTATGCAGCATCAGAGAGAAGATCATTCACTGCGTCCTCGTCATGTTGAAGCGATAAACTTGTTAACTCCGCAGTTGTTATCGCAAAATGTTATACTGCACCCTTGCAACCCAGATAGTAGCACTTATTACACAATTGCATGCAAACCTAAAAGTGAAGGAAAAGCAGAGCCTGTTTTTTCTGAGAGTCATAACGAAGATCCGCGAACAGGAGCTGGTTCGTGCGGGTGTCCAAACGGCTTTCGGTCACGGTTGTTTTAAGAAAGTCTATGCGTTTTGCAGTCAGCAGGACAAGAAGAGTAAATGGAAGATATGTGCTAACACAAGGTTTTCATTTTCAAGTATGTTACAATAGGTGCATATGGTGCATTTTTGACCTGGTTTGAGTTATGGACATTGGAGTTTTAACGCTTGATTTTTGGGACTTATTAAGAGAGCTAAGTGGCGGTGGCTGGATACCGCGCCACAACAGAGGTACTTGCCGTTAAACTACGTCTCATCCCCTAGGTGTGCGACTACATGTTCTGTGAGTGATAGCAAACATATCACAAAGATATACGAAGAAAACCAGTAACCCTATGTAATCCCAAATCCATCTCAAGTTAATAGATCTATTGGGTCCACCTCAGAAATCCGACGAGTAGTAGTAGTAGTATAGTCAACAGACTGTCAAATAGACATAGAGCCAAAGATAAGCATGGAAATCACTGAAAGAAGACGGGTTGAACACTGTATCAGCATCATGGCGCATTAACTGAAGGTGAGCTACACACAACAGCTATATATATATATATATATATATATATATATATATATATGTATATATATATGAGACGGACAACGGTGTACCTAGCTGATGTCAATCAGAATTTGCCTATGAAAAAATAACAGGAAGTTGGGTGTTGGGAGGAGCAACACCCAAATATTTCCATTCCGGATACGGTCCTCACGATCGGAATGACCGAGGTTTACCTCAAAGTGAACCGAGGTTCCAATAGAGGTTGCGAGTCGCAACCCAACCACACAGCGTGTTCGCTAAATTCAACTTTGAACACGAGGAATATTTGCTAAGCTATTATACCATAGCACAACTATTAGTGAGGATCTATGATAAAAAGGTTAACAGAAAGGAAGATAGAACAAGCGAGATAGTTGACGGCAGAACGAGTAAACTGGCAATGAAACCTATCAGAAATTAAAGCATCGTTTAAACAACGAATGGCAGGAAACGGAAATCGCTACCCTAAGTAATGTTGGTTTATTCGAAAGCGATTTCATACAGTTACGAATATGGATCCAGCTATCAAGTAGACAATGGTTGAGAAACGACTGTTCTTACAGATCCAAGGAGCGAAGAGAATTGGTGCGTTACTCTGAATGGAATCAGTGTTAGGAACGAAGTTATTATTACATTCATGGAAATGCTATATCTCTACAGAATGCCTATGTTGTACGTCTAGTAAATACCGGTACTGGCCATGGCATGTAATCGAGTACCAACCTCAGAAAACGAGTGGAATCGAACGCACTGGAGTGTTTTCGAGGGGGCTCCAGTTAGAGATGAATGTATAAGGCGACACGTAGTTAAACTCAGCGCCGTAAATCACTGAGCCGAATGTAGACGGTAAAACAAGGGTGAGTGGCGTACAGTCGACCAGTGGTTAAATGCTACATAAATGAAAGTATTATCTTTCACTGCCACACAAAATATTAAGCGATTGTTGAGGTATTCGGCGTACACTGTAGCTCAATATCTTGTAAGTAAGCGCTGACGATCAAGTCTAACGAAGGAGGGCACAGACCCATCAGCGAAGTAAGCGCCAAACGACATTAGCAGTGCGTGCAAACCAGCCGTTTAGAATACCAATTCGTTAACTGATATTTGCAGGTCGCGATGCGTATAATTACCAAGGAAACTGCGTCGGCCCCCTGGTTCAGTGGTTTAGATCACTGCCCCGCAGTTTGACGGTAAGGAGTCCGCAGCCCACCGTTTTCACTATAATACATTATGCATCTATCCGACTAGCTGACAGAAAGTGAGGTGTCAGCCTGAGGTTTACCGTGGGAGGTGAATAAATTGGTGGTAAATGCCAATGTCGATGGCATTGTTGTTGTAAAACATTGTGGCCCCTTCAGCCACTACATCAAAGCAGAAAGTATCCATAGATTACGATGCGGCAACATTTCGATTGTTCTCATCAGTTGCATACACAATACAAGCAGAAACTGGAAAAACTTCGCCGCAGTGGCAAACAAAGTCGGCTTATTTAAACCGCCCATCTACAGAAACAAATGAATTAGTAGTCCGGATTTGTTAGAAGTTGAATAAAATTTGCTAAGTAGGACCTTAGTATCGAACAGTTACCCAGAAAAGTTCATCCAAGTGCTTAGCAGATCTCCAAAAAAGAAACTTCTGATGCTTAAGGCAGAGAAAAAAGCTGTCTGTTTGGTTCTGCCTTTCAAGGTGGACCATGTGGTCAATGATCTCCGACACAAGGTCAGATCTGTCCTAACGCTCACCTACAAGACTTTCAAGTTGCGCCTGATGTATCGTACTCGGAAAGTTGTTCGTCATGACCGTCAGAGCAACTCCTCAGCTAGTTCAGTCTCATGTGGTTTAGCATTTCACCTGCAGTTGCGGTAACGTCTACATAGGCAGAGGGTGGCTTAATACTTGCCAATGTGGGTCAAACAAACAATGACGTAACAAAACGGAGCGCCTCATAGAATGAACCGGAGTGCGTCCTCATTTATCACCAAACGCCTCTTGACAACTGGTCAACATGCGAACCCGAATAATCCGTTCCGCAACAGGAACCCGACAATGTTGGTAATCTGTGAAAGGTTGTCAATTAGGGCCTATCAGCCTGTGCTTTATGCACAGATTCCCTTGAGGCAAGTAATTAGATTGCCTTGGTCTTGATTTCGACAGGTAAATTGGTTTCCTAATTGTTCCCATGTAAGAATTTGTGTATGCGTTTCTGCTTGTATTGTGCATGCAACTGATGAGAACAACCGAAATGTCGACATATTGCAATCTGTGTCCTTTTTCTGCTTTGATGTGGTGTTGGTTTCGTGAAAGACCGCCAGTGAAGCGAGAACGTAGAGGATGAAAACATGATTGAGCGTAACAAAGCTTAAATTGGCTGGCTCCTTCATTAAAGGCAGAGCTAACATTGATGTGTGAAAACAGCCGTAATGGTGGGGTAACCAAGCGGAGAACCGAACGGCAAACGCCGAATAACTATCGCAAACATTAAGTGACAGAGCCACTTATATATATATATATATATATATATATATATATATATATATATATATATATATATATATATATATATATATATATATATATATATATATATATATAACCAAAGGAATAAGACCGGGAGGCATTTGGATAGGAGCCACGTGTCATCAACAGAGCCGGCCCACACTCTTTCACAGGCAAACACAAGCACGCTGTATTTGGGAATCAAGCAAGCACAAGGCGGTAGATTGGCCGTAGTCCACTCCACACTGAATGGAACCACTCTTTGAGCTTAGCACGGTCTCGAGGACCGTGCACCCCGTTCGCTCCAGCAACGACGAACGGTCTCCTGGAGCCAGTGGGTAATAGACAGGTAAGCATTTTGTCAACATGCACATCGGGGATGACAAAAAACAGCCAATCACTTGAAATGATAATAATAAAGAATTTGTATTAAATGAAGCATGCGGAAATGCTGACATAAATTTGCACTAAATGAGCATATAAAATGAATTGGTTATCCACAACTCCGCAGTAAGTAAAAGATGTCAGAAAAAATATTTCAAAAATTCCAAAAAGCGAAAATGTTGGCGAACTTAACCCCAATTAGCTCAAACAACGTAAGCAAGTTCCGATGAGGTAAAAATGATGCTTTGAGACCCGATAGCAAACCCACCACCTGAAATAAAGAAGTTCAGCACGCAAGCACGCGGTTAGTAAGTCGACTTCAGCGCACCGACCAATGCTGCCCCGGTTCTGCTTACTTTCTCACCAAGACTTGTCGTCGTTTGATGCTAGTCCCTAGTGGCCTCGCTCGCGGCTCATTAGGTCTGCCTAACTCAGGTACTCGAGACTGCATGTGCTACAGCACCATGCCCTCGACTTCGATGGAGTACACCACATCGGCGACTAACGCTACCGCAACTGCCGCTTCTCCCCCGCATACGCGACGGCTTTCTCTTGCACCTCGACAATTGCCGACCTGATCAGTTCGGGCCACGGACGTTGATCAACAATATTCGATTCCCTTGACCAATCAACATTAGAGCGTAAGAAGCTCACTTTGATCATGTCCTTGTAATGGAGCTTCAGTTTCCCGGTATGCCGCTTCCCCACACTCAGCTGATCCAATAACAGGTGCTTCGGTATCCGCGTCGAATCCATACGGCTCACATAACCGAGCCATCTCGAGTGTCTGAGCAAAAGTATGCAGTTTACTGCATACATTCCACTTCGGAGCAACACTTCCGTGTCTGCAAGGCTGTCGCACCGACCGTTGCAGACACTGGTGCTGAAACCACCAAATATCGCACATCCCGCCGATACATCGTCCACGTTTCGCTGCCGTATAGAAGAACGGACAGCACCATGGACTGGTACACCAACAGGTTTGTGGCAACAGTAAGCTGATGGTTGTTCCACACTCGCCGCCGCTGCCTTCGATACGCGGATACGCATCCCACTGTATATTGGTTGGTCAGTCGAAACAACACTCCGAAAGTAGCAGAAGTGAGGAAATGGTTTCCAATCCCCCATCACCAAAGCCGATTTTAGGCACCATTGTAGATTTCACCTCCGGTGAAGGATGAAAGAGACAGGCAGTTTTTCTCGCGTAGCTGGTGAGCTCGGATTTGGCCGCTCTCAAAGACAGAGCACTAATCGTGTGCTGCAAGTCATTCGTGCTGTATTCAAACAACGCACAGTCGTCAGTGAACAGCAACATACTGATAGTTGTCTCACATGCTAGGGTTCTCGCACTGAAACGACGAAAGTTCAGCAACCTACCATCAATACTGTGCTCCACACGAAAACCGTTGGCCTAAGCGGCATCAAGCGCACCAGACATCATGGCATGATGATAAATATTAAACAAAGCTAGGAGCTAAGACACAAAATTGCTTCACACCAGAGACAACTGCAAAGTCATCCGAGGTTTCTCCACCCATCTGCACCCTCGCCCGTATACCACAGTTAAGATATTCAATTGAAATTATTCGGACAAACAAACTTACCCAACACCAGCCACAATGCCTCGCGGTTCACCGTATCAACTGCTTTGGTAAAATCAACAAAATGCTAGTAGGACGGCCA